TTTCCTACCTGTCACTTGTGTAGACCTGGAACTTCTCTGGCAAAGAGGAGAACAGTTCATAGTTGGCCATCTCGAGAAGCTTCAGCTGTATGGGATCGCACAGCTCCACGACAAACCTGGAAATATACCAGCCAAGCATTTACCCACAGCCAGGCCTGTAGTGTTTACATGTTGTAACCAACCACACACTACTGCCTGCTCCATACAGCCAGCTACAGCCTGCATGTGGCAGGCGCCACACCATGCTCATTCCCAGTTACACTTAGGCCTAAAAAATAAAGACGTTTGTTTCCGCTAACCCAACCGAGTCCAATTTAAACCACTTTTTTTAAATCATAATAAAAACCAACGTGATATCGATCGGTGAATGCATTGATTTGACTTTGAAGTCATTATATGGGCTGGTATACGTATGAAACAAGTATTGTTAGAATATAAAAAATAATAAACAATACTTGATAAAAAAAAGTTTTGCCTGCCAACCGTGTCTATTTTTTCAGCTCGTTAGCGAGTCTTTTTTTTAGGCCTTAGCTGATTCTACATGCTGCAGCTTTCCTCTTCTGCCCTCTGCATCATCCTACGCATTTCACTTTTTGCACCTTCTAAATGGTACCTGTAATATTCTACCAGGGGCGCGTTTCACTAACGTTCGTTCGCTATTTTTCCTTCGCTATTTTTTTTCTTCGCTATTTTTAAAGTTGATCGGTAAATAGCGAAGAACACGTCCGCGCGTGTTTCACAAAGCTCCGTTCGCTAAAGTTATTCGTTATTTAGCGAACAACTTTAGCGACACCTCTGCAGGGTCTCGGTAAATTTAGCGAAGGACTTGCGGTGTATAAAAACATAATGTAGCGCAGTGTGTGCTGTATATTGTAGCAGCGATGTTGCGGAGGTTGTTTCAGATAAATGCACCTAACTTTACTACAAACGATAGTGCCTATATAGGAACACTATTCACGCAAATACAAGCTCGTGCTATACTTGCTGTTACACACATACACAATCAGACTGACACAGACAATCTCTCTCAATTTGTCTGCTAAAACGCTACGCCTGGGCTCCGTTTCGCCTGCCTGTCGAATAGAAAGAATATCAAAATGTTATATGTTTTACTCTAATCTTTCAATAGTTCATAATATATTGTAATGTGTGTTGTGAGTCTTTACATGCTACGATCCCACAGATTCACATGCAAGTGTAGTCTCTGTTTGCAAACCGGTGTCGAACGAGAGCCTGAGCATTGACAGATACTCTCATCGCTGACATCACAACTGCAAGCAGCGTATAGTATGTGAGTACAACTGCACAACTGCAAGCAATGAGCACAACTGCACGCAGCGGAGTGTATAGTGACAAGCATGGCAAACTTTTTATTGTATCAAGCTTATAATTGAGATAATGAAAGACGACATTTACGAAGAGAAAGAGTTTTCAGAGACAGAACACAACCGTTTGATGCCTACAATGATACAGAGCGTGACCTATCAACAACTGCGCCACGTGTTTGTAGTTGCCGCCAGCTGACGCAAAGTTGTTCGCTAAATAGCGAGAGCATAGCGAAGCGTTAGTTAAACGCGTTGTTCGGTAAAGTTGTTCGGTATGCATTCGTTCGCTAAATCAACTTTCGTCGGTTAATGAACAACTTTTAGCGGACGTTAGTGAAACGCGGCCCTGCAGCTCTACTACACCGTACAGATCCAAATACCACCTACTGTAGACTCCTGTAGCTAACACTACCTGCTACACTACAACCAGGACGTAGTTCTGTTCTTTTACCTTCTACTTACTCACTACACGTTGGTAGTAATAATTCTGTCTGGTGCCTGCTACATTCTCCTATTGCACTTCTTCACCACAAGACAGCAGCTGTACCAGCTGGCAGCTGTTTCTACTTTCCTACGTTGGCAACTTGTCAGCGTAGTTTAGAGGTCTGCCTTGTCTGCTTGCCAAACCTCCAAAATGAGTTTTTTTCACAACGTGTGTGTGTGCGTGCGTGCAAGCATGCGTGCGTGTGTGCGTGCGATGGATACAACAACATAATGATAAATGTATCATGGGGGTATCGTTCCAGCATGGCTTAGTTGCAGCGCAGCAGCAGGGACGTCGGCGGCGGCGGCGGCAGCGGCGGCTCAGTGGCTCACCATATATGCGCCCTGCACGGGTTCAGCATGTACTGGTCGCGGTTCTCGATGAGGATCGACGACGACGCCTGCGCCTCCTGGTTCGTGTCGAGGACCTTCGCGCCGCAGTCGACCGACGCGTAGTTGTTGTGCATCGGGCTCGATTTCAGCTTCGCCGGCGTCGGCTCCTCGGCACGTGCTGAAACAATGCATCGCCAGGTGCGGGCGTCATTGTTGGGGTCATCATGAAGGGTCATTGTGTGGGTCACAAAGGGGTCATCATGAAGGGTCATTGTGGAGGTCATGAAGGGTCATTGTAGTGGTCATGAGGGTCATGAGGTCATTGTGGAGGTCATGAAGGGTCATTGTAGTGGTCATGAGGGTCATGAGGTCATTGAGGAGGGGGTCATGACTGGATATAATGGAGGTTATTAGGGTAGTCATGTTGGGTCTTTGTTTATATAATGAAGCGTCACTCTAGGGGGTCAGGAATGGTAACCGTTGGGATCAACGTCTCATGACAGCGGTGTTACAATGCTGGTTACAGTGCGCTTTGTCGCATCCTAGATGGTTCGTATGCTGGGGTGCAGACCCCGCCGTGCTCCTCTTACCTTCCTCCTTCGTGAGCTTGTCCGCGAGCATCTTCTGCTTCCACTCGTCGAACGACGGCATGTCCTTGTCGGCGTCCGCGCCCGCCCCGCCCGCCGAAGCCAGCTCCTGCTCCAGCGTCGCCGTGTCGTCCGTCTTACGACGCGCCTCCTCTTTCTCCTCCCCCGGGTGCCTCTCCCCGCTCTCCTTGCCCGCCCTCCCCTCGCCTCCCACCTCCACCGGCACGGCGGTTTCGGCAACGGGTGAATGCTCGATTGTTTCAGCGTCTGCATGCACGGTTCGATTCTCGTCGATCTCACTTGGATGCTGTAACACTACTTCGGTGGGCATGGCGGTAACCGACTCCGCCTGGTGGGGCGTCGCATCATTTCTCACTGCGAATCCGTCATCGTCGTATTTGACGATGTTAGGCACTCTGTTCGAGGCTTGATCGTGAGCCGCTCCTGCATTCACGAGCACATCCCTTAGCAGATTACCAGGTCGCTCAGTTTCCTTTTGTGCATCTGTGAAGTAACGGAGAATTAGAATACATACGATATGCGTAAACGTATTAATATGAATATGCAAAGGGTTCCACCCAGGCCTTTACTCCATGTCGGTTTGACATGCCTTCAAAGCTGTAGCTAATTTGCAAAATCTCAGACATGCCTTAATTTCCACGTGCATTTACTTTGGCAATCTCAACACAGTCATTCGGTCCTTTCAGAGCTTGATGTATACGTCTCAGAACTAATCGAATATTTCAAGTATACCTCTGTATTCAGGATTTGGGATGCTTATTACCCTCCTAATTGATTTAAATGATAGAACCCCCTCTAGGGCCCTCCCCATTTGTCCATAAATGTCATGGCTTCTAAAATACCTAGGTTAGGACACACACATGCACACGCACGCACGCACGCACACATACACATATATATATGCATACACATACACATACACATACATATACACACACCTATAACTAGGAGCAACAAAATATGAATAAACAAGTAAAACTCATTTGCATTAATTAAATCAAAATTAGCATAAATGCATGATAATAACAAATTCGGTGACCTCACCATCTTCATTGTGATGACCACTGAGGGTAGTTGCTTGTTCCCGCTGGATAGCTGACACAGGGATTTTCTCTGGGAGAGGCTCTGGGTCGTGCTCGTCCGATCCACACTCTGACACACCCAGCAACTTGCTTAAAAACACAAAAACCAAACGAAATGACACAAACCCCCCTGCGATGGGCACTTTAGTATCAAGACGCTGAGAATAAATAAACTAGAACGTTGATTACAAAAAACCTGGACGCACAGAGATATTGCTATACTGGGACATAAAACCAGTCATCGGGTTCATATAATTTTCATGCATATCCTGCACCATCATTACTCAATTTATTAGTATTCATTTGCGATTCTAATTCGCTCTAATATTTTCAACACCGTGAGATTTTTCTTTGAAATCCGCATTTTTCGCACGGAATCTACATAAATAGTTTACTGCCCACGTGTCAAGTTACAGTTAGGAATAAATCACGCGCAGCAAGTGATTGCTGTGGAAGTGAAACTTGTTTCATGCTGCTGATACAGCACATGTATGTGCCCATAATCATTATATATATCTATATATATAATATATAAATATCCACATTTCTTGTTGCTTCATGCGTCACTTGTTTCTGAGCAGCAGCAGCTGATGATATATTGGCTTATTACAGTGACCAAGTTAGCTAATGAGGCTGGATGCTGTGGCATTGGGGTGCTGTATGCATACATTTCCCAGCACAGGTTGTAGTGACAGAATCTAAACACAGCCTACATTCATACATTACGATGATTGATTTTAATCAGACAATATACATGACGCACTCAACATTATGGGGGGATATATGGCAACACAGACTACTACAGCAGAGGAATCCAACATGCAACCCAATTGACTGTAGATCGAGGCCCGTTTGAGATTTATTTATTTTCTAAATCCTGATAACAATTCTTTAGAGCCAACTGGCTAGGCTCTACCACTGTTACTATAAAAAAAAATCACGATGCCTGTACACATACAGGTTTCTGATCATGTGGCCCTCTATTGAAAAGAACTTGAATGCCCCTATGATGCAGGAACATATTTCTAGCTGTGTCACGCACTGTAGCAACGTCAATACAGCCTTGAACAGTCGACGAATGGCATCAAATATCAGCACCTTCAGCAACTATACTACGAATGCACATTTGGCAAGCACCACTTACGAATGCAGCGGCACAGCATCCGTGTATGTTTCCCCATTGTCGTCATGCCGATGCGGGGTGTTGAAATTGGCTTCGCCGGCAAGCAGGGCCGTCAGTTGGTCGCGAAGGGGCTCATGCAGGCACGGCTCACTGGAAAACACAACGTAGAGCAAACACTGAGCATTTATCGCGAAATGCCACGACAGTTATATCGATAACAGACTCGAGCGCATGGGTTGTTCAAACACACGCACACGCACAGGCACACTGCACAATTTCAACGCTGGGTTCCGGTCTAGCCCCAAATTAGTTTCAGTCCACTTGCTTACGGTACTTTAAGAATAATTATGCTGCGGTGGCCATGGCGATTGGAGTGAATCTAGGTCGCCATATACCTGCAGAATACTTCCCAGTGTACTAAACCTGTGCAACTAGGAAACGCAGCGCAGTCACCGTGACTAAAAGCTGGGACACTCGCAAATGGAAAACCTTCCGGCTTATCAGACGTGTAGATGTAGATGTAGATGTAGATGTATGTGACATGTAGACTACAAGCAAGTTCTGATGACCGCGCGACTACAAAGTGAAGTACTCCCTATTCCCACCGCCATCAGAAATTGCTAGTAGTTAGTACCCGTACAGTACTAGTAACACTGCCTCTCCACATGTTCTTACTAGAGCCAGGGCAGTCCTGTGTTTAAAGCAGCTAGTCATCTGCACGTTGTAGACAAAAGTAAAATAAAATGGACACGTGAAAGTAAAAACTAGTCTAGTCGAGTGTTGATTTACAGCGAACGTATATTGTTGCAGCCTACACACAGGCAGCTGAGTGAACATAAACCCCTGAGGTCTTTAGGCGTTTTCTCGGCTGCGTATACATAACAATCTCATCATAAATACACACAAGACGCCACTTGCGAGCTGGCCAGTTGATATAAAAAATATTTTATAAGGGGTTCATATAAAGGGTTTATATGCGGCTGATATTATGCATACTAGTAGCGAGTTGTTTTTGTCAATATCTTCTCTCATTGCATCTACGCATATCGTGGTGAAAGACCAATCGGCAATCGACGTGCCTACGTCTTCTTTCTATATTTAGATTAATCGTTGAACACGCCGCGTTGCTTGGTGACCGCCTCCTACCCCACCATCCCACCCCGTTACTAGGTAATGGCTGGACACCATACTTAACCTGCCACACACCTGTCTATACAGTGTTACATCATTGTATCTAATTGATGACCATCCACCCAGTTACTAGGTATTGGCTAGACACTATACTTCACATTTCACGCACCTGTCTATATAGCGTTACATCGTGTACATCATTGTATACTTGGTAATGGCTAGAAACCATATATGGTCTATGCAGGGTTACATCATGGTATTTAGTAGCTCTAGAACTACAGCCCTTCGCTCCACCACAGGCCTGTGTCAGAGCACAGGGCTATAGTTCTAGAGCGAGGTATTTAAATGACCACATGCACGCTAGAGGAATCGGTAGACATCATCATTAATAATTCCCTATCATCTACTTCTGATATCATGCATCCACTTGTCTGTGGCATTATCTAGGTGACCCCTACCCACCCAGTTGCTTGGCCTACCACCTAGGTCGCGCTAGTTGCATTGCTCGTCTCTGCAGTGATACTTACATAGCTGTGTTTAGCAGCCAGAGCATCAGCATCGCTGCGTAGACCATCGTGCCGATTTCGACTAGGCGGCACAGCACGGTAACGCAGCGGAGAGCGCGTCCGCCGCGCTCGCACTGTTGCATCGGTGCAGCACCGCAGTCGCGTCGCGACGCCGCAGCAGCAGCAGCTGACGTTGACACCCTAACACCTGTCACAGCGCGACGGCGCTGCCGCGGCCGCAGCCACCAACGCAACCTGCGTCAGCTGTCCGCAAATGTGGCGCCAACTACGACGTTCGCCTCGCGTGTGGAAGATCAACGCATTGGTCTCCGCCACACGACGCATCGATGCGCCTATATATCTACAAGGCACTGTAGGCCCACACTCGGTCACATACACGTCGTGGTGGTATTATAGGATATATCGATGCTGTCCGTACTTGCACACCGCGGCGTCGTGGCGATAGATCTATGCGTGCAGAAGACTCATCGGTATGACAACGCAGCCGATGCTAGCGGTATAACCCACAACCCGGCGTGGGGGACGCAATCGAAGTCAGTGAGAGGATGATATCGCACGTGCACACTGACGACTACGCAGTCTCTGTATTCAACGTCGGACAAGCTTCACCTGAATATTTTCCGCCACTATTCTTTCAAAAAATCCCCTGATAGCACACGCGCGCACACGCACGTATAATAGGCACGTGTATATACGTGAGTGGCTGACGATGCAATAGCTTTGCTATGCGAGCAGTGCCGTGTATGATAAAGAACCAGTCGAGCCTGGACCATCCCTGCCCCGCAGCGCATCCTGATAGCGATGGTGCAATATCCGGGGACACACCTTCACTGATCAAACTTCCGAGTGACCGGAATCGCAATGACCGGTCAGGGTACATATAGACACGCACATACGCACGCACGCGCGCGCGAACGCATACACACACGATGCACCCGCACTCGCTCAGCAGTCAGGTCAGTCAAATATTCCGAAGATTACACGCGTACACACAGCATACACACAAACACACACTCGCTCGCACTATAACTCACTGACTCGCTAGCCACGACCGCATGATATATATACGCACACACCATCTGCGATGCTTACACGTGTATTAAGATTACGTGGAACCACCGAAAACCCAGTCGGTAGACTGGAACCGCCGAACAAACGCTCGCTCGTGCAGTTCGAGCTCCCGCCAAACTGAAAGACCACCAGCTGCAGACACCGTCTCGCTTTGCGGGTTATTAGATGTCCGTTCCACGTCGGCGGCGATATCTGCCCCGGGGGCTTCTTCTCCCGCGCGTGAAACCCCAGGAACGTTAAGGTGAACCTCCTCGTACGGGTCGTCGACTCTCTCCACTCGCAGCGCGACCGCTCTCTCTCTCTCTCTCTCTCTCTCTCTCTCTCTCTCTCTCTCTCTTGATATCTCTCTAACTCTTCCTCACTCTCTCTGTCTCTC